TACGGCCCAAAGGGGTAAGTATACACGGATATAGGGCCTGGCAGGAAACGTCCAGGCTAGAAAGAAATAGAGAACGCAATATATAAATAGCCTGCTTCTCCGGCTTTTTACGCCTGGGCAAAAATTAGCGTGCAGAAGAAATCCTCTTAATCATCACTTAAGAGAAGAGAAAAGCTAAGAAACGCGGGAAGGGCCCCCCCAGGCCTGTGCGGCGAACAGGCCCCGTCTTAAAGGCTCTCCAGGAGGCGGCTAGACGGAGAACGTAAACCCCCCCCAGGGACGTATCAAAAATACGAAACGTGGCCGGTAAGTGAGCCGACATCAAGTCATCTCCGCCTGACAGTGGGGAGAGGCGGGAAGAAGTAAAAATAAAACAGAGTTGACATCGGCCTTGCGGAAGGCCTGAGAACAAGCACCCATAGCCAGCGTAGTACCTTGGGGTGACGCAAGTGGCCAGAGTAGACGCCTGCTCCAGTATGTTTCCGGAGTTGCAACCATCTTCTGGCCCCCCAGACAGCCTGTCCATGCACAGCGATGCCAGCAGTGCCAGCTAGCAGTCGGTCTGCTGTGTTTGATGTGCCTTTGACGAGCGCTGCGACTCGTCTCTGCCGTCGCTTTTCGTCTATCAAACGGCGAGAAGGAGGCGAAAAGCTCGAGATGCGGTTCGCCTTTCTCGATTTGGAACTCACGTGGCGGGTCTTGGCTGCGGCTCTTCGTTCTTCCGTCTCTGATTACATAATCTTACCTAATCTCAACCTCCAACACTGAGAAAGAGCGCCAGGGATGATGGAGAGAAGAGAGAAGCCAGGATCAGGATGCGATGCGGGATGGGCGAGGGCAGAGTAGATCTACGGAGGCGCCGGATGGGGGAGTCCACCGGGGTTTCTACGGAGTATGTACTACATTCCATGGCTATGGTTGGTACATAGAATCATGGTGGCTTTGTTATTCCGCTCGACTACCCATTAGTTATACTATGTTGCTTGCATGAACCTGCTTCTGTCCTCGCTGCTTCGACTTCGCGAACTATCAATGCATACATTAAAAACCAGAGAAAGTGGTAACTGGGGAAAGGGGGAAGAAGAAATGATAAAAAGAAGAAAGGCTGGATAAGAGATATGCAACTTTGAGGCCTGGAGCCATCGGTTTGGCAAGGGGGGGCGTTGTTCATCACGTCGTCAATGTCATAAACTAGGAACTGCTCTCAACTTTATAAGGCAAAGCAATGGATGGATCAAACAAGCAAAGGGAATTTAAAAAAAAGAAGAAGAAGAAGAAGAAGAAGAAGAAAAGAAAGGAAACATGCGGTAAATAAGAGATTGGAGAGCCATGGAGAGCAGACATGAAACAATCCCTCTACCCAAATGCTCTTCGGTCACCCTCTTTTCGATACTTATCAAGGGCAGCAGAGTCTTCGTCACGGAGCAACTTGAAGAACCGACGCACGTCCATCGGATTAGCATTTGGTCTGGTGCGGAGCAAGTCCATCCATGTATTTTCGGTGCTGGGTGCTGTTGGCTTTGCAGCCTCGATCTTGTTGGGCTCCGTCTGACTGGCTCGTCCGGGGGCATCCCCGCCCCCATCGAATGGCGGTAAATATCCATGAGCGTTGACCTTTTGCTCCATTGTCAGAGTCTCCACTTTTTTTGAGTCGTGTTTTCGACAGTGCTGTTTGCAAGGCGAGAACGAGAGTGGACTCTGTTGCAGCTTGCTCAGCTTTTTGAACTGCGCTGGCTCCTTTGATGAGCCCGTGGTAGCAATAGGCGTTTGAACTGGCTTGGGAGTTTGTGGAGCAGCAGCCTGTCGTGCCTTGGGATCTACGATCTCCAGTCGGGCGCTTGGTCGTCCCCGTGGTACTCCGATCCTACCTGAACCGAATGTGTCAGGGTTGCGGCCTCTGTTCGTGCCTAAGCGAGTTATATGTGCTGTAACCTTGGCCAGTTCCTGGAAAAGAGGCCCCAGGGGTTCGTTGCGCTTCGCAGCCTGCTCAATTTTCTGGTAAATCACACTCAGCTCCGGTGGTGCGCGGGCATTGCGAGTTGGTTCTCCAATCTTCTGCCCAGTTGCTGAGGTGATTATTCTCATATCGTCCTCGTCGTCATCATCTGCGAGTCTTTCCGGGATACCCATGTTATTTACCCCTGGTACTGTCCAGTTGTTTGAGGTGGCACTAGATGCCGGCATATTGGCCAAAAATCCATTATCACAGTATGACTCTGGTGACATGTAAGGAGACTCTGTTGCCTGGACAGGAGACATGAACCCATGGACATCACTCATGCTGAACGAGCTCCCTCCAGCATTGGTTAATCCGGGATTGTAGTATCCTCCTTGGGGTGTCATAACCGGCGTACACGGTGGAGCTGTGATAAAATCGTGGGAACCCGGATTTGGGCCTTTTTGGTGCACCTTTACTGGCATTGCAGAATCATTGCTGGACCGCAACATCGCCTCAATATTCTCCTTGAGAACCCTAGCTGCGTCAAGCTTGGTAACCAGTTCCATTCGCTGAATAACGAGGATCTTCTTACTAGAAGGATCGATATCCCATGTGTGCACAGCCATGTAGCGGTCCAGGTTCGACAGCTGTGCAGATATTGTTTCAAATTCCTGGATGGCATTATCCAGCATGTTGCTTAAACCACGAGAATCATTGGGCTGAGAAGCTGTCTGTGCTGCATTTAGACCCGGCGCCATATACCCAGTGAAAGAGTTGAAGGCTCCTGGTAGCTGATACATCTGTGCCAGATTTATCATTCCCAATCCTGGCGGTGTTGGATATGGTATAATATTGCAGGCGGGACCGATAAACTGAGCTTGAGCAGCTCCATGGGCTTGGTCTGGGACTGTCTGGGCGATGCCAGCTGGAGAATAGTATGTTTGAAGGCTGGGGAATGGGAATGCACCTTGGTCTGTCTGTCCCTGTTGCATCGATAATCCGTCCATTCCCACATTTACTAAATTCGGAATGAAATTTATTCCACCCATCTGGCCTGGAGTCGTGGGGTTGCTAGTCACAGGTGCACTTATCACGGGTGTCTGATATCGAGGGGTGGTTTTTGTTGTATTCCCCTTGCTTGCTTGGCTCATTGCCGAATCCCGTCGCCTTCCCTGCTCTGATCTGGTAGTGTGTTCAGCCATGGTTCGAGTACGGTGTCGTCTCATAGTTCCAGTATCCTCCTTTGACTCGTCTCCCTTGCCGGACATAGGGGAATGAGAGGCTCCGGGGTTCTGGCACGGATTCTGATTGCATGCCGGTTCTACACCCTTAACTGCAGGCTTAAACTCAGGTGTTGGACTTGCACGCAATGTCATTGGAACTATGCGACCACCTGCAGTGACTCTGTGATGTTTTGGTGAAGCATGCTCCTTCAAGAAACGAGCGAACCCTTCATTTGTTTGAGCTATGTTTCCCTCCGGCGCGTTTTTCGGCTGGCGACATGGAAATTGGAAATGCGATGACTGCGTTGTGTGATAGCTTGCGTCTGAGTCCATGGACATATCAGTTGATGTGCGAGTATGGTTGACTGGTTTTTCCCGCAATACATAAGACCCAGAACCCAGTGATTTCCGACCTATAAAGCACCAAGGTTAGGATGTCTACCAGCCTACTGGGTCGAGAGAAGGTCGTTTCACTTACCACTGCCATAAAAGCTGCTCAAGTTCAGGCGCTTTGGAAAATCTGTTTTACCCATGTTTTTTCCGATGCTCAGCAACGTTTCAATATCGTACTTCCTAGGCTTCATCTTGACCGTGGAGGAAAGTGAAAGATCGCCTTTTCCAGGTTCCAAATCCTCATATACCTTCAGTCGAGGCTTTTCTTTTCCCTCGTTGCCAGAGTTAACGGCCTCTCGGAAGATCGATGATGAGCCTATAGAAGAAACAGAACCAAGTTAGGCTGGCTTGTATAACTCCGAGAGGGACAACCAGTTGCTTACCTGGACTCTGAGCCAGAACCGTAGCCATGGCTTCTGTTTCTTATACCACAGTAACAGAAAGATTCCAGGAATAAGACAAGAAGTTGTATCCAATTCCCAGTTTCTTTCGCTCCCTTGGTTATGACAAATGGACGGATACTTGTATCTTTAGCCGACTACCTGTTATTTTCCTTATCTCCGCACCGGTTGCTAGCTGAAGTGAGGCTCTGGCCTAGGCGGATAGATGTGTATGCGGCTTTTGTATACTTCTGATAAGATGTTTTTGAGGACGTCAACACGGAGCAAGGATGGCGTCTCTCCGATAGAGTCGATTTTGTAGAGCACTGTATCTGATGAGAGGACGAAAATGCCTTTTCGGCAGCGGACTAGAGGCAAATGAGAATCTCCGAAGCTCTCTTAGGCTGGATGATGGCTTGGAAGAGGAGGTTTTTCTTGCCCATAAGAGAGGGACAACTTTGTGAGGTGGAAGGCAGAAGAGAGTAGCAGAAGAGAAGTGGAAGGAAGAATCACTGTGATATAGTAAAGAAAGAAGAAGTGAGACGAAAGTAAAGAGAAGGAATAAGAGAAAAGTACAATAAATGATGAAGATAAGTGATAGGAACTGTTTGTCTTTTTATTCCCTAGATATATTATTGTTGTCCTTTTAGGTGTGCGTGTTTCTGTGCTAATGACTATTCACTATATTCACTGAGTGACAACACAACATTTATCCTTCTATTCTCCTATTCTTTTATTGAGGGACTATTGATAACAAACACAACTGTTATTAATACTATATAATGACCTAACACATTACATGAGGAGGATAATACATAATATGCGATAATCAAAACATACTATACAAGAGTTGTAAGTCGATACAGAAATGAATAAAAGAATAGGAAAAAGTAAAAGATAAATTAATACATGATGACCATACATATCAAAAAAAGAGAATTCAACAAACATAGTACAGGTGGTACAGGTGGTACAGGTGGTATAGGTGGTATAGATGGGTATTGTTGGCTGCTTCTTGCATAGGCAAAGGCTTCTAGTGGCTTCTTGATGCGTTGCGGCAATCTGTTAGACAGTGTCACGAACCTTGACCGGTTGGCAGGCAGGGCTCAAGAGCATCTCGATATCCTCGTTGTAACTACCTGCATTACTCTCGTTGCTAGGAGCAATGCTTGATGGAGCTGACACCCTGATATCACGAGAACTTCCTGGGTTGATGATGCTCGCGTTATTTTCAGTGTCAACATGATTCCATCGCAGTTTCTTTCGGTGTCTATGGCCTCGCCACATGCAAAAGAGGCAGGAAAGTGCAAGAGTTGGAAGCCCAAACGAAACTGCACCAAGGCCAATGAGTGCACCGGTGTCCAGAGGGGGAAGGGTAGTGAAGTCGCATTTCTTGGTAGACTTGTGTTGTGCGTATTGGTAGCAGAAGTTTTCCTGGCCATCGCAGGAGCGGCACCATTCGGAAGTAGATTTCATGTTGAACACCATCTGGTCGACAAAGTCTTTGTAGGGCATTGCAGTCTCTTTGTTGTTGGTTCCAAACATCGGGTATTGTTTGAATTGCGATTCGGGGTCAGATGCATCAGTGCCATTGCGGATCAAAAGTCGAACCATTAGCTTTGAGTTATCGGTGGGATATTCTGCAATTCCATCTTCTGCCATACTGAAAAGTTCAAGCATAACAGATGCACCGTGGTTGGGAAGGCCACTCAAGCCCTCACGATATGGTTTTGAGACAACGATTTCCAAGAAGGCCATTAGGGGCTCATACCCACCAAAAATCAGGGATAACTTATTGAACGACCCTTTGCTTCTCTCGTTCTGTTGAAGTGAACGCATAATGGGGTAAGCTAGGGATCTACCTGCAATAGCAAGTACTCTGTCCTTTGACCAATGAACATCGGCGCCGGTAGAGGTTGCGTGTGCCCACTGGTTGGCATACTGACGAGCTGTGTCTACATCGGTGCGAGAAATAATGTCTCTGGCAGTTGAATTGTAGGTGTACTGGTAGTTGAGGTACTCATAAACAGTATTGGCGTGGTAGATACTGGCCATGTCACGAGAGTAGACGCCGAAAAGTATGCGTGAGTAAATATTCGAGTAGAAGGCTTGGGTGCTATCGAATACGTCATGGAACTCTTTAGAAGCAGCAAAGGCTCGGACTGCGTTGGTGTGCTGTGGACAGTTCTTGTGGCCGGAAATATGTGCAGACATGGGATCTTCCGCCCGGTAAGTTGAAATGACGGGGTACTGGTAACCGTTGAGAGGATAGTCAATCAAGTGACCGTTGGCGTCGGTTGCAGAACTCAAAATGCCACGGAAGGAGGCGAGTTCCGGAGTTGGAGGGTAAAGGCCTTGCATGAAAGCCTGGGCGGATGACACCACATTAGGCTCTGGCGTGGAGGATATTTCGATTTCATCATTGTTCAGGACGGGGGAAAGCCCGTTAACACTGAAAAAAGACAAGTTGGGGTTCCTATGGGGAGTAATATAGCGCTGACGAAAGGCGCGGCCTGCACCTACGAGCTGCTGAGCTCCAACGGGAGTGAGGGCGGGAGCCCCAACTGCACCGAGAGGGGCAGTCTCGCCGTGTCTTGTAAAGACGACTGATCCCCAGGTTATCGGTCGACGGTTGTCTTGGGCGAAAGCATGCGTGAAGAAGAAGAGGAAAAAAAAAGTAGATTGCGAGCATGGCTTCTGTTAGAGCTTTTGGCAGTTCGTGTGAGAATAAATGTGGATTGTATTATGTATCAATAGAATTGTATTATAGTCTTGATGTAGCCGTGTGAGAAGGTCGATCAGTATAGCAAGAGGATGGGATGAAGTAGCAGTAGAAGCAGTAAGAGAGGAAGAGTGAGATGGAAGGAGTTGTAAGAGAAATATTTTCAAGATTAAGAGAAATGGCAGGAGAACTGGCTTTAAATACTGCTCCCAAGCAGCGTGAGTTCAGTCCAAATCGATGACAACAGCCAGGGCGCGAAGACTCATGGGCGTCATCGTAGGCTTCGATCCGGGGTCATCTATGTCATAGACTGTAAACCAGTCATTTCAACCAAGGTTCAAAATAGTACTTCAACTCCCAGGAAGGTTGATGGCGAGCAACCTTAGTATAACATGGTCCTCCATGGTCAAGGATGTGCTAGACACTATATCTCGTCCTTCGAGAATATACCATCCTTTATGATAATAATTCATATCTATACCTTCTTATCGGTATAGATAATAGAGGGTATCAATTGCAGTGGTTTCCAATGCTGGTCTCACGTCAGTTTCACGATGCAAAATGAATGACGTCTTTGAACGTTCGACGACGTCAAGCAGAATGAACGAGAATGGCTAGCGTCACTGGTTTACATAAGCAAGACGTTGAAGTAAGCAACAAGCTTTTAGACAAAAGAGGCTTAGTTAGGGCAGCTGAGAGAGAAGCCCTAAAAGCTCGCCCAAAAGAGGCGCTTGGCCCCAAGCCCTAACAGAGCCCTACTTCCGCGCCCTATCCCTAAACCCTCATTTTCTGCTTGATCCGGGAATCGCAGAAGCCCTGAAGATATCTCGATGCCGGAAGCGCAGCCAGTCAGCATGACCGATCATCTGCAAGCTGGAGATCCCCCCATAGACGACGAGCCGGCCGCTGCAAAACCACCTTCGGTCGCAACACCTATTGCTGACTCCAATGGTAAGATTTTTGATCTTCGTTCATTGCCGCGATACTTCGTCCCGCCTTTGACTGGCTGTATAGATAAGATCTAACCAGCTGAGCCTGTCACAGAAAAGCCGAAACAGTCGCACCCATTGCAAGATGACGATGCATCCTTGGCCCCAGAACCGAAGCGCCGACGGACAGACCCCTCCATCAGTGCCGACGCTGCCTGCGATACAACGGCATCGACACCGTTTGAGAGCCAGCATCTCGGTCCAAGCGAAACATACTTCCCTGCGAAGAGCGGCGTAACGAACGCAACAGGGCTGAATACTGAGCCCGGGCCATTCAAGGAGGAACTTCGAGAAGCGCGTATATCAGCTGCCCACGCAGGATCGCCGGAAAGCGTAGCGCATGCTATATCTCATCTCCTTGACCAATCAAGGAGAAAGGATGCTAGCAAGCAAGCCGTTTCCGCTGATTCCAATGCAGCTTTGCTTAAAGCAAACTCGAATTTAAAGGCGCAGAGTCTACCCATCCTGGATAACTTGGTAAATACAGCCTTCGATCTCTGCTGTACCTGGTACAATGCTAATATTTGGTCATTAGTCTACCCAGATCCTCAGCTTCATTGCCCGCACAAGCTTCCAAGACCTGACGGCGCTCGTCTCGGAACCGCAGTCTGAAAATGCTCAATCCTACTCTACCCTACGCTCTCTATTCGACCACACCAAGAAAGTCTACACCACAAATAAGCCCTTTCTATCCGCATCAGAGCTAGGGCTTACAGAGGCAAGCCAGGTCGAAGTGATCCGAAAAGCAAACCTAGCTTCTTTTGTCTTCAGTCTGTTCGGAACTCAAGAGATTGGTTTTGCTGAGCTTCATGACAATTTTTTGGATATATTTGTCCCCGAAGGAGGCCGGTTACTGAAAAGCCAAGCTGCCTTGTTCCTTGAACTGAAAACTCAAACTTTCATTGCTTCGATGAACAATCCAGCTCGACCAAACGTTGAAATACTCTATGAATTATTCCCTGACAATCTTGGTCTCAGTCTACTGGCACGAAGGCCGGGCACTAGACACCCAGCTCCAAGTGAAACTGATTTCGTCAAACGAGCCAGCTCGCGACGAGACATCCTACTGGGAGAAATCAATAACCCAGACTCAATTCACACCTTGCCAGAAAAATACCTTTGGCAAGACTTTTTGAGGGATATCAGCGTTTATGTTAGTAAAAATATTGATTCCCTCACTACTCAGGTTTGTCTGCTGTTCGTTTTTATCTTTAGCTGGAAAAATACTTACATTTTCATAGACTAAACGGCTAAACAAAACACGATCACCAACTTCGCCTCAGGAAGAAGAGGCTGAGTCTCCAGCTACTGCTTTGGAAACTCAGTTCTCGGTAGCTCCACCAGCACCCCCAGAGCCTGCTCCTGTAGAACGAAGAATCGGAAGGGTTGATCTTGCTGCCCGGGCTGCTCGTGCTGCGCAGATTGCACTCCAAGGCCAGGGCGTAAGGAGGGCCAGTGCTGTAACTACTCCTCCACTTCAACAGCCACAGCAGCAGCAGCAGCAACAAACCTATCAACCGGCACCACCACACACACAATCAGCTGTCTCTCATGCCTCACCACCACCACCCTCAGTCCAGCAGCATACTCCTCAATCAACATCTACATCACCACCACCACCGGCCCCGCCACAAAGCCAGCCTAACGTCCAGTCATCGTATACTAATTATGCCTCCGTGCCTGCTACCGCTTCACCACAGCCACCCCATCTTCCTTTCCTCCAGGGCCAATTCCAATTCCAACAATATAACCCCCAGACGCCACCCGAACCTTCTCCAGGGAGAAATACTCCTGCGTCCGCAACCTATGCATACATGCCAGGAGTCCCGCACTTTTCACAATCAGAGCCTACTCAGATACTGTATGAGCGTGCTAGGCTTGCAACTACAACGCGGTCATCACCAAGCAGCCGCCGTGCAGGGCTACCCAGTCAGCGGCGACCATGGACCACTGAAGAGGAGAATGCGTTGATGGCTGGGCTAGATCGTGTCAAGGGACCTCATTGGAGCCAGATATTATCCATGTTTGGACCGGGAGGTACTATCAGCGAGGCCCTAAAGGACCGTAACCAAGTCCAACTCAAGGACAAGGCACGGAATCTCAAGCTCTTCTTCCTCAAGAGCGGAATTGAAGTCCCTTATTATCTCAAGTTTGTCACTGGAGAGCTCAAAACAAGAGCACCGGCGCAGGCAGCAAAGCAGGAGGCCCGAGAACGAGAACGCCAGCAAGGAGAAGAAGACAAAGCCCATGTCGAAGGAATAGAAGGGATGATGGCCCTTGCCGGAGCCCATACCTCAGCCTCCGTAGAGCCTTCTGTCGGGAGCATAGAATCCCATCCTAACACGCAGCCAGGCACGCCGTCAGTCCTCGCACAGCAACAGGAGCCTCACAACAACCATAATCATCACCATCACCAAGATGACCACGACCATCATGCAGCTGAACGATCAGCCGAACAGGTTCTATATCAAAGTCTTACTCAAGAGAAGGCAGAGGGACTACAGATGGAGTCCCAGCGGAATTACGTGGACCCTTCGCTGTAACTCCTCCAGCTTCTCCCGCCTGCGTCTTTCCATCTTCCTTACACTCGCACATGCATAACTACAGTCATTCTCCGGAGTAGTTGGGTACGGTTGCTATTTGGCAGGAAAGCGTTGCTTGTCTTCTTCATCATCATTCACGAATATTCTCACGGCGTTTCATTTAGCTCATCAGTCACCAAATACCATCAGCCTATGCGTGTCTATGATTTCTCTAATTAGCATTAATCTTCTCCTCCTGAGAGGCTCTTTTCCCCTTCACCTCTTTGCTTCTTAGCAGTAACTAGACATTCATCTCGAGCAGTAGTTAACTAGATACCGAGACCAGCTTCTTAATTCTCAGCTCGTATCCCAGAGAAACATCGACAATTATCAAGCGAGCGCCCTAAAAAGAACCATTTCTTCCGTAAAAAGACACCTACTGGCGATAACCCCTTGCTAGGCTGGTCTACGGTGCTGGCAGCTCGTTGACTTTTGTGCAGGAGGCGACTAGCAAGCTCCAGCATCTCCGTTGAAATATTTTTTTTATCTCGCTTCACCTCCCGCCATCTCGCTGTCCCACGTCAAACCGCCTGCCAGCCATCCCGTTTCCATTCCATCGTCCGTCTTCGTCCTCTTCGTCCTGCTACGGCTTGCTATGTCTCGCGTCGCCCCGATAACAACGAAAGACGCCTAACTAGTTAGCTGTTTTCACTGTCCGCTGCCCAGAGAAAAACCACCGTCACACATATCTCAACCAGCAGCTCTCTCACCGCATCCTTGCCCTTAAGCTCTTATTACCTTCACGATACGTCCATACGCAGCAGAGCAGACACATCGCAATGGCCGAATCAGATTCATCGCAGCCACCACCTCCACAACCGCAGTCGAATCAGGTGGACGTCGCACAGCCATCGTCGCAGGCAGTCGCGCAGCAGCCCGCAAGTTCAGTACCAAAAGCCAGCAGTTCGGCCTCGCCACCGTCCCAGACGCAGCCGCAGATGCAGACATCTCAAGCTCTACCGCAAGACACGGCTGCTCCAGCAAATCAAGACAGCTCCGAGCCGGTGATCAAGCAACAGTCGCCTAGCTCTAACCCATCCGAACCTGCTGTGGCTGCAACGGGAGAAGGAGGGAGTGCATCGTCGTTGGCAAAGGATGTTGATTTAAGTCCTCAGGGGGCCAATATCAAGGACACCAACGCTACCGAAGACATCACCATGGGGGGAACAGAGCCAGAAGCTGGGGAGACTACAGTGCAAGAGGGGGCTGGTGTCACTGCTGGCGGTGCTGCAACCACTTCAACGGCTAATGTTGCCCCAGGCATTCCTGAGCCTGCGCCTGGTCTAACCGGGCTTGAATCGATAGTACCTCCGTCAAAGAAAGATACTAGCCTGAGAGAGTTCCTAAGTCAGATGGATGACTATGCACCTATTGTACGTTTTGCTGACTCCCCCTCGTTGATAAGACGTTTTACTAACTATGGGCATAGATTCCAGATGCTGTCACTGCTCACTATCTGACCGTTGCAGGTCTCCCGCCACCGGGACCCGGACCGAACAACACACCTCCTCATCTTGCTCGACTACTAGCTCTTGCAACACAGAAATTCATTGCAGATATTGCAGCGGATTCTTATCAATACTCCCGAATCCGTAGTTCCAACAGTGCCTCGTCCAATAACCCGATGGGCAGCATAAACGTCACCGCCGGCCTAAGCAGTGCTGCTCAGGGTGGTCAACCAGGAGGTGCCGGAGCTGCTGGAGCTGCCGGCACCGGTGAAGTATCTACCAAAGGAAAATCCGGTGCTGGGGGCCTACACCTGGGAGTTCAACGTGCTGGTTTTGGAGGTGGAGGACAAGGAGGCTCCCAAGGGAAGACCGTCCTGACCATGGAAGATTTAGGCATGGCGGTTGGTGAGTATGGAGTCAGCGTGAAGCGAGGCGAGTTCTACCGGTAAAAATGAAATACCGCACCGCCAGGTTTTCCAAGTCCTTTTTTTTCGATATCTTTTTCCAATCTTTCCACCGCCCAATCCGGATACCCCCGTTCTATTTTCCTGTCTCAACTAGGGCGTAACTACTCAGAGCTTCTTATGGTGAACGGGAATGGCGCATTGCTGATTCATGGGTTGAAAAGGCGTATTTTCTAGGTGGGCAAATCAGGCTCAAAGGGGGGGTTGGGTATTTGTTACTACTATATACTCCTTGGGCTATATATCACCTATGAACATTATAGGGATTCTCCAAACAAAATTATAAACTAAAGTACCATCCTAGCATAATGAACGCTATCTCTAGCGAGCAGTATAGGAAATTGCTGTAGTGAGGTAATATACAATATCTATGATTGATAGTGATACAATGTGGTACAATGAGCAGCCGGGGCTCTAGCATTTCCTTCCATGCTGCACAAACTATCGCACTCCATGCTAAACACCCAATTGACATCAACGCCTAATAACCAAAAAAGTAAATTAATAAAACAGAAGAATCAAATAGCTATCCCAGCCATGCAGCGGCTCAACTGCGATTCCATTCTAGGAATGTTAGACACGCCTCCTTGGATTCTTCGATACTTAATTCTCTTTATTTAGATAAATGACCAGGGCTCAACGTTTATTTGTTCTTCGAGTGCTGATATGTGAAACGTTTTCGTGTGCTAAATATTTATGGCGTTAGTCACTATATTCTAGCACGGGCGTAACGCGGCACTGATATCTGAAATAGATACCCCACACAGGTGTATAACATACGGCGCAAATTCTCCAAGCTTCCTTCCAACCATCTCCTCAGTGATTAGAATTTCCTGGTATTGTTTCCCGTTGTGAACTGCGAATTTCAACCCAACAAAGTTAGGCAGGATGGTAGCTGCTCTAGCCTGTGTGCGGATGGCTGGTGTTCCTGGAGGAGGAGGAATCGTCTTCGGCAATGGAAGACTGGATTATATCGTTAGATATTTCAATGAAAGACAATGATATCTAGTATCTCAATGCTGATTATAAAAGTTTCAACGTACGGCACGATATTTGGACCTGGGCAAAAGTTGGTTAGTTCCATCCATTCTGAACCGGTGAAAAATAGCACAGTATACTTACCCTTCCAAGCGGATCGCTTCAGCAGCGCACGAGTGGGAAACATGCTTGCTGTCCCTTGAATCGCCGAATCTTCAATCTCCAGTATCAACTTCACAGTTGACCTTCGGGCAGAAAAGAATGAAATCGATGATGATTATCTAATGATGACTAACAAGGTGTATCTAATGACTAAGCGGGCGCAGTTTCTGTCACGTGAAAGATATAAACAAACGAAAGGTGAGGGAGGAACGGCGATATCATCTCATCTATCGAGCGATCATAAATTGACGTCTAATCTATTTTCTTTCATGCTATCACAGTCTCTAGTTGGAAACCTTGGATAGGTCTTCCATGATCTTCGCAACATTCCTCAACCCTCTCAGAAGGTTCTCATCCGGGCCCTGTCCAGGCGTCCAACGGGCATGCGCGAAGTCGATAAGCCGGATATCATGGACTTTAGGGAGCTCTTCTTCATCCTCATCCTCCTCTTCTGCCTCTTCATCCGTGTCCCCTCCATGACCCGTAGTCCGAGTGGATAGGTCTTCAGGCTTGTTGGCTTGCTCACGCTCTACCTCAAGGGCCTTCTCGAACGTTTCGGGGTCCCCCTCATAGACTATCAGAACACTGGCGGAGTACATGCGGCTCTCCTCTGACTCCAAAACCGATTGCATCGCTCGTAACTCAGTTGCAATTCTCTCCGCTATAAAAGCAGATCGATCAACCGTTCCGGCCTTAGCGGAGGCGAGGAAGGTCTTGAAGCCCTGATGGACGTTATGCTCATCAAAGCCTCGTCCATACCACTTATCGAAACGAAGATAGCCCTCAGACTCGACTACTTTAGCCTTGGACTTGATGGTTTCACTGGCTGTTGAAGCAAGATGTTGTGCGGTGACATCAATGTCAGCTCCAGACTGTGTGTCTCCCCCAACCCATGTCTTCATTCCGGCAATGCGGAAGCCTAAGCTCCCGCTCGTCGTCTCAGCAGACACCTGGTCAAGTTTCTTTCTCTTATCAGAAATAGCGTCATCGTCCCAGAGCCTTGCACCAAGTTTGACATCCAACACGTTTGGCCGTACAAAGCCATCCGTAATGTTCTCCAGAACGATTGACAGCCCGGTATCAAGCTTCTTACCGCCAGACGGAACCCATGGCTGGTCCGGTTTCTTCGCTGGCCTCGTGATGGAGATGCTATCTGTCTCTGTCGCCAATTCCATAGGCAAGGAAGACCTCTCCACGGGTGCCTCTGCTGAAGTAATAACTAGTGGTGCATCTGCATCTGCATTCGATATATCAAGGGCCTCCTTGGGAGCACCAGCGCGCAGTGAACCGATAAACGTAGGCATGTATCTTTGAACCGCCGGGTGATTGGCGCCTGATTCATAGAACAGAATCTCTTTCTCGGTACAGGGCTTCGCTATGAGAGAGCCTGATTCATCACAGCGGACACCTTCACTAATACAGGTCATGAGCTCGCACTCTCACTCGCCCCTTGTCCGTCATTCAACAGGAGTAACTTACTGTCCGGCAGCGGCATGGTCAAATGCCACAAAGCTATCCTCATCCAGTTTCTGACTCTTCGACGATGGTGGCATGGTTGAGACCCTAGAATAGGAGCTGGAAGCTTGTCAAAAATTGTTGTATTTCAAGGTACCTATCCCCAACTTCGGCCACTTGATGACACCCAAGCGAGAAGGTGAAGATACCAGACAGGTTAATCAGCCACAGCAGTGAGCCTCTTTCGCTCGACAATTGTGCATATAGAACAGCTAAGTGAATAGGTAGAGAGCCTGACTGCTTCGCTGTCAATTTGATGCCTCAAATGCAAGTCATCACGGCCAAGATAGGGCTTAGCGGCAAGCCAGCAACGAATGCGATGTAGTGGATGCTGATTGGTTGGACGGAAACCAAATCTTGTTAGGTAAGAATATCTATCTGTGACGTCATAGGCTGGGGTCTTGTATCAGATTTCGATTTTTTTGTGCCCCCTTAGATATACAGACACTACTGTATATACAGCTCTAGGGGACTCTTTCTATTAGCATCATGCGTGCCCTCTGCTTACCCTGATACCCATGAGGGACATGCTATCTATCAAGTTGCAGTGTCCTAGCCTCAGGAATTGTTAGCCGAGCTCTCACAATGTGTATTTCATTCGAGGTCTGAGCAGAGAACTCCGTGATACTGGCTCATCCCCCGCTATGTCTACTGGTGACTAGATGTGGAAAAACTTCGTGCTCTGGCCGCTATTACATATGACCAATGGCCGGGATGGTTTAACACCGAGGAAGGGGAATGGCCGTTGGAAGGGAGGGACCAACCTACCTAGATAGAAATGCTAGGACGATTTTCCAGCAGGAGCTGGGAGAACTGCGGATATCATGGCCCCCTTGCTTGGTTTAAAGTCCTTGACATTATCGTGTCATAGAATATAATACCCTGCAATCTCATTCTCTGCTCTAACTATCTTTTCTGAACTAAGTACTTCTTCACTCGTTAGACAGTGCCTGGTAAAGGGCTCATCCCAACCAGCAGAAGGATTTTTCTTCCAGCTATTATTATTTCTCTAACCCTCACCTTGGTATGAATAACACAATTACTATTGGCCATCTAGCTTGTTTGCTTACTTGCATTAACAAGATGCAACTATGCGATGGGCAGACAAAGATCTCGGAAAAGAGCACAAAGAAGGCATAGAAGCTAAAGAATTCACTGACACTGATTCTTGGACTTTCTCTGCTTCTTCTTTCTTCCTTCTTGTCTTTACATACCAAATCACCCCTTCTCTAGCTTCAATCTTGAGAAATTTTCCAGAAGATAGTCCAGGTGAAGGAAAAGTGAAGTGACTCGCCCAAGGGAGCGAATCATATATTGAGTTGTGAAGGGCTTACTTCATCTTCTTTATTTACCAACAGAGAGAACAGCTTCAGGCTCATCTTAACCTCTCCCTAACCTCCGACAAGAGCCTCCAAGGACGTTTCAATTTTCAATTTCGAGTCATCTTCATAAGTCTATTTACTCGAATATTTGGCCTCGAGCTCGGTAAAGATGGAAGCAAAACCTGAGCCAGACACGGTTGCTGATAGCACTTCCGTCCTGAGCAATATCCCAATTAACCTACCCCATCGTCCTAAAAAGCTGGCTGATGAGGATCGTGACCAGCTAGAGGCCGAAAACAAGGAGGATATTGGTGAGAATAATAACGGGAATGTGGAAGCAGCCAGTGAGAACCAGGTCATCGAGGGCGAAAAAACCATCGCGGAGTCTTTGGACAAGACAATATCGGTTCCCGTGAAGAAGAAGTCCAAGAAGAGATCCAAAGGGAAGAAGGGCAAGGTAGGATGCCATCTTGCTGTTTAGCATTTAAATATGGAAGGTATTAACCCTTAAGCAGAAGAAGATCACAGGTTTCGAGGAGTACTACGTCGACCCGCCCATGACTCCCGCTGAGCATGAAGAGGAAAAATCTATCTATGACCCGTAAGCATGATATATCTGGGAGATTCCGCATTGAAGCATAACTAACTAAAACATACAGGTCTAAGCCAGCTATCCAGTGAGTTCAAGGGCCGCATTTGCAGGTGTACGAGCAGCTATCCTGACTTTCATATAGGCGTCTCGAGACAGCAATCCAGAGGTACCAAGCTAAAAGACGTCTCGATCCTGAGAGAAGGCATATTTTCACGAAGTATATGGCTTTTGGCGGTGTCGATGTTGGACCTAAGATGTTTGAAGGAAATGACCAGCGAGACCTCCAGTCCATGGATGCAGAGGCCATCGCTACCGCAACTGCATCATCTAATATCCCCCACGACCGTGACAAGTGGAATGTTGACTTTGAAACTGTTGCCAAAGGGTTTTTGTGCGTTTATCAGGTCCCAAGCGGTTGTTAGATTATTTGAAGGCTGACCCTTCTAACTATAACTATAGATCATCTGTTTTCCCCCAGATGTTTGCGGTCGACACTGAGCAGCTTGTTCAGCTTGGAACTAATACTATCAAAAACTTCCTCAATTACATCATATACCATGATGTCTGTCCAGAGTATCGAGACGACATTATGGCTGCCCGCAAAATAACTGACCAGGCAGCCGAACAACTGTGGAAGGCTTACCAAGCTGATGCTAACGCACCGGGAGACTTCAACACTGCTTGCAGTACACTTTTCGGTGATTCGTTCTTTGATATGTACACTGAAGAACGAGAATGGGTGGAAAATTCAGACACGATTCCATTTATGACATTGACCGCGGCGAGAAAGGTTGTTAAGTTTGGAATTGCTGCTATAGGAAGCCTTGAGCAAGTGGTTAAATTCCGAGAACTGGCGGTCTCCAACAAACTACGAGAGAAGCTCGTTCATGAATATGGGTTTGAAGTTACCGCAATCATCCCTCCATCGACTGAAGTCACCGAATTCTACGAACAGAATGCCCCTGATCTCAAACCAATTGGGACAATCCGAGCGATTGCCTGGCGTGACTCCAGCCTGCCAGATGAGGACCTTGCACCAGGTGAAGAACCACCCGCTTATAGACACATGAAGTTTGAGTTCTTTGTGGAGAAAAGCCTTCTCCCATTCTTTTTCGTTCGAATGAAGGTCGATGCAAACGTGTGGGAGCTCAGCTGCGGAGTTCATTACTTTGACAAGTTCATGGCCACCTATTGCTCGTTCCATACTACTTTGCCGAATGAAGGGATCTTGAACTGGAAAGAGCCTCGAGATTTAAGGGGAGACCATATTGTCTGGGGATCCAAGAGGACCGAAACTGTTGAAGATGAGGACGAAGAGAGTGACATTGAGGATTAAGGAAGCGCGCAGGATCCATACGAACTCGTCTTCTACTGCGGCCATGGGCGCACATTGGCAAGCAAGTGTCACATAGGTCCTTTAGCAGCATGATTCAACCAGCAGAGTAGATGCTTGCAAAGCATATCTAGGTACTTAGGTAGTTAAATTAGCCCAGTTCCCATCGTATAAACATTCAACCATCTTCAACCAACCTTCGGCTATGTAGCTGATGTGGGGAGATAAATACCGACTAACTCCGCGAGCTTAGTTATCAACATCTTTCGTCATAAACATTAGTTAGAACACGAGAAACGACCAACTTCTCCCAAACGTCAAGTCAAGCGATATATCCAATGCCTACAGGCTCTATCTGTAGTCAATGAAGACAAGTTTACAAAGTATTGCTATATCCGCGGTTGTGAAAAGGCTGTTCATCCCTAGGGTGTATACACATCCACCAGTCAACCCCGCGTTCAATCTCAAGGTACAGACAGGGCTCCACGGCTTCGGCTATACCACTTCGGCTCCCAGAAGATTACCATCCATCTACCGCAATATGACTTCTCTTCCAACTTCTCAGAAGGGGGTTTTAGTCTCCAAGATAGGAGGCCCCGAAGTCCTTGAGTATAGAATGGACTTGCCCGTCCCTTCACCCAAGGAAGGGGAAGTCCTTGTCAAAAACAATCTTACTGCCATTAATCTCATCGACACATACTTCAGGAAGGGTGTATATGACTCTACCAAACCTGAGATTCTGGGCAAAGAAGGCGCTGGTACCATTGTTGCGTTAGGTCCCGGCCCGAACCCTTACAACTTCGCTGTTGGTGATCGCGTAGCATGGATCGGAACTGCAGGATATGCAGAGTACAGCACCCCACCAGCATACAGAGTAGCAAAGATTCCCCAGGGTGTCTCCGACGAGGATGTGCTCGCCGTGTTACTGACTGGTGCCACTTGCCTTTCCTTCATCCGGGAAGCATACGAGGTCAAGAAAGGTGACTGGATTCTTCTTCATGCTGCGGCTGGCGGAGCAGGTATCATCATGACCCAGTTGCTCAAGCTAGCTGGTGCCAAAGTCATCGGCACTGCGGGGGGGCCTGAAAAGGTTGAACTCGTCAGGGGCCTGGGTGCGGATGTGGTTATTGATTATAAGAGCACGGAGGGTGCTAAGTGGCTGGATAAGGTGATGGAGGTCACCGGTGGCGAGGGTGTGAACGCAGTGTACGATTCAGTGGGCAAGGATACCTGGGAAGACAGTCTCAAGGCTGTCAGGCGGAAAGGATCTGTAGTTTTCTTCGGAAACTCTAGTGGTGTTGTGCCTCCATTCCCAATTTCGTGAGTGTTTCCTCCATATTTTTCGTATGTATGCCCTCGTGCAGACAGTCTAACATGGTCCGTGTAGGATGCTCGCAGGGAAGAATATTAAGATATGCCGCCCTGTTCTCTTCAATTATATATATACCCGTGAAGAGTTTGACCTATATATGAACGAACTCTTCCAGTTGCTTGAGGCAGGGAAGTTAAAAACAAGCATCTATAAGATATACCCACTTGAGGATATTCAGCAAGCACATAAGGTCAGTCTCCCTCAAGTTCAAAGTCTTTCACAAAACGAGAAAATTGACTTCATTTTTCAATCGGCATAGGATATCGAAGGAAGGAAAACAACTGGCAAGTTGCTGCTGAAGCCCTGAGTATCGTATAACGTCATTCTCTGAACCCTTCTGCCATATCAATGGCCAACAAGTCATCTTCATATAGGGTCCATGAAATTTGAATAATGTCCTCACAAGGGTATTCACATCATACTCCTGTATATCAAATCAGCCACAGTCTTACTCAATGCACCACCACTTTCGAAACAAACACATCACTATGACATTCCTCTATTTCCGATTTGAGATCTGGTTCCCAGCTCATATACTCGGACCACTAATGTCCGCGCAGAACCTATCCTTGCTTTCCCGGCAAACACCCGGATACAGAGTAAGATGGTCAACTTCAGTGGCAATCCAGTAACTCAGGCTTCATCCGGTAGACTCGGCTGCATTTCGTTGGCTACTCGGGGTCACGTTCGGTGGTCGACTCCCACACAGCAAGAGCACCACCAGCTGCACGATATAAAGAAGAAACTCGCCCTGTGGAGGCCTCGCATTCCAGACTGGCTTATCATGGGGCAAGGACCATACAAACTTAGCGCCAACGATTTATGCTTCCTTTTTCTTCACCAAAATAGAGGCCTTCGGGCAGGAATCCTGCTGTCGGGCGCCCCCCTGTGCACTCCACCAAAGTGCATCTCTAACTTTTCTCCCACACAATCCAGTTGCGGGATGACGTTTTCTTAACTGATGGCGCGAATGAAGGGACTCGCCTTAAAGCTGCGGCCTGCAGCATGTAACAGAGTGAAGCCATGGAGAAGATGAAATGGCTGGAAAACTCTGCCTTACAAGGATGATTGGTGAGCCTCAAGCTGTTGCTGTTCGAGGCGCCTCGC